CAATCAGGCAAGAAAAAGAAATAAAGGGTATTCAAATAGGAAAGGTGGAAGCCAAATTGTCTCTATTTGCAGACGACATGATAGTATACCTAGAAGACCCCATCGCCTCAGCCCAAAAACTCCTGAAACTGATAAACAACTTCAGCAAAGTCTCAGGATATAAAATCAATGTGCAAAAATCACAAGCATTCGTCTACACCAATAACAGACTTAAAGAAAGCCAAATCAAGAGCGAACTGCCATTCGCAATTGCTACAAAAAGAATAAAATACCTTGGAATACAACTCACAAGGAACGTAAGGGACCTCTTCAAGGAGAACTACAAACCACTGCTCAACGAAATCAGAGAGGACACAAACAGATGGAGAAACATTCCATGTTCATGGTTAGGAAGAATTAATATCGTGAAAATGGCTATACTGCCCAAAGTAATTTACAGAATCAACGCTATCCCCATCAAGCTACCATTGACTTTCTTCACAGAACTGGAAAAAACCACCATGAACTTCATATGGAACCAAAAGAGAGCCCGCATAGCCAAGTCAATTCTAAGCAAAAAGAACACAGCGGGGGGCATCACACTACCGGATTTCAAACTATACTACAAGGCTACAGTAATCAAAACAGCATGGTACTGGTACCAAAACAGAGATATAGACCAATGGAACAAAACAGAGGCACCGGAGGCAACACAACATACATACAACTATACAATCTTTGATAAACCTGACAAAAACAAGCAATGGGGCAAGGATTCCATGTTTAACAAATGGTGTTGGGAAAACTGGCTAGCCATGTGCAGAAAGCAGAAACTGGACCCCTTCCTGACACCTTACACTAAAATTAACTCCAGATGGATTAAAGACTTAAACATAAGACCTGGCACCATAAAAACCCTAGAAGGAAATCTAGGCAAAACTATCCAGGACATAAGAGTAGGCAAGGACTTCATGAACAAAACACCAAGAGCATTGGCAACAAAAGCCAAAATAGACAAATGGGACCTAATGAAACTCCACAGCTTCTGCACGGCAAAAGAAACAGTCACTAGAGTGGATCGGCAACCAACAGAATGGGAAAAAATTTTCGCAGTCTACCCATCTGACAAAGGGCTGATATCCAGAATTTACAAACAACTCAAGCAGATTTACAGGAAAAAAACAAACAAGCCCATTCAAAAGTGGGCAAAGGATATGAACAGATACTTTACGAAAGAAGACATATATGAGGCCAACAATCATATGAAAAAATGCTCATCGTCACTGGTCATCAGAGAGATGCAAATCAAAACCACATTGAGATACCATCTCATGCCAGTTAGAATGGCGATCATTAAAAAATCTGGAGACAACAGATGCTGGAGAGGATGTGGAGAAAAAGGAACACTTTTACACTGTTGGTGGGAGTGTAAATTAGTTCAACCATTGTGGAAGACAGTGTGGCGATTCCTCAAGGCCTTAGAAATAGAAATTCCATTTGACCCAGCAATCCCATTACTGGGTATATATCCAAAAGACTATAAATCGTTCTACTGTAAGGACACATGTACACGAATGTTCATTGCAGCACTGTTTACAATAGCAAAGACCTGGAATCAACCCAAATGCCCATTGATAATAGACTGGATTGGAAAAATGTGGCACATATACACCATGGAATATTATGCAGCAATCAGAAATGATGAGTTCGTGTCGTTTGTAGGGACATGGATGAATCTGGAAAACATCATCCTCAGCAAACTGACACAAGAACAGAAAATGAAACACTGCATATTCTCACTCATAGGTGGGTGATGAAAAATGAGAACACATGGACACAGAAAGGGGAGTACTAAACACTGGGGTCTATTGGGGGGAAAAGGGGAGGGCCAGTGGGAGGGGGAGGTGGGGAGGGATAGCCTGGGGAGAAATGCCAAATGTGGGTGAAGGGGAGAAGAAAAGCAAAGCACACTGCCATGTGTGTACCTACGCAACTGTCTTGCATGCTCTGCTCATGTACCCCAAAACCTATAATCCAATAAAAAATTAAAAAAAAAAAAAAAAAAGAAAGCCTTTTGTTAGTGGCTAATTCACAACAGCCTCTTCAGCCTAATTCTATTCATACCCAGAACCTATGTTTTAGGCACAGTGCTGAGCACTAGTGATAAAAGCCATGAACAAGAGAGAAATGGTCCCTGCCCTGGTGGAACTTCTCTCTAATACCTGATGTGACATTGTTATGTATTTGCAACAGTACTGTTTTCTTCTTTTAAAAAATTGTGAAAGGAATTTTTACTGCATTATTGGTACTGTGCCTACCCTCAAGTGACTTATAATGCTATTGGGTAGAAAGACAGGAGAAACACTAGTAGGATAAGCTAAGAGTAAAGTCACTTAATAGCTCTTAGGTGCAGGAGGTATCAAATGAAAGCAAATAGAACTGTATGCTGGAATCATTAGGAAGACAAGGTCACAAGATTTTGTTTATAGCCCCTCTGTTTATTCCAAAACAGCAGCCAATGAGCTTTTAATATGAGTCGTGTCATTGTACTTCTCTGCTGAAATCTTTCAGTGGCCTCACCCCGTGACTCCATGTCAAGTAATGCTTGTAAACAGTGTAAAAGGCCCACACAGTCTGCACTCATTCCACCTCACCCTCACCTCTCTTATCTTCTGTGGTATTCCCTTTTTTGTTCTTCAGGTAGATTGATCTCTGTGCTGTTCCTCAAAACACCTGGCACTTAGCTACTTCAAAGGCCTCTTATTTGGAAATCCCATCTTTCCAGAACACTCTCTCCCAGATGTTTATATGGTACCTTCCTCATTGCATAAGACTAGTGATGTCTTCCCAAAAAACACTTCTGAATTATATTCACCCTCACTTCCTTAGCACTCCTTATTCCCTTTCACTGAATTATTTTTCTCCATTGTACTTTTTACCATCTGTTGTATATACCTTTTTGTTTATTGCCTGTCTGTCCCAAGTAGAAAACTCTAGAAGGTCAACAAATTCAGTCTTTTTTTTTTTTTCATTGCTGTATCCGGAGTACCCAGAATAGTATTATATCTGGTAATATTAGGTACATACAAAAAGTATTTTTGAAGGAATTAATGTAGAAAATGAAAAGAAAAATGAGAATGGCACTCAAGTAAGACAGAATAAGCAAAGGTATGTAAAGAGAAATAGTAAGTATTGATATGGGAGGAGATAAAAGAGGCCAACCTAACTATGACATATAAATAGGTTTCTTGTTTGAGGAGAGTTAAAGAAAAAGATCAGTAAGATGGTACCTAAGACAGAAGATAAAAGAGCCTTAAGACAGCAGAGGAGTTTTGGTTTTGTATCACCTAATCAGTAGAGTTATTTCAGGTTGCTAAGAAGAGTGATTTAACAAATGTTTAGAAACATCCTTTGAGAATTGGTATGGAAGATAATTGACAGGGAGAGAAACTGGATGCAAAAAACTGTATTATTGCAGTAATCTAAGCAAGAGGCTGAGAAAAAGAAAAGGGGTAAAGAGAAAAAATGATGAAGACAGGTCACATCTGTGAGAAAGCTTACAAAAGAATCAAAACGACTTTGTAATTGTATTAAATGAAGAATAATGGAAAAGGAAGAGTCAAGATAGCTGTAACATTTTAAGACTGGGACAAGGGAGTATATTAAAATAGCGAGCTAGTTGTACAATTCTAGGGTTTGCAAGGGTTGCTAGAGTAAAAATCTTCAGTATTTTATCAACTCTTTATCATTCCCTAAGGAAATAATGCTGAGAACCTAGTGTCTTTCACTTCTGTCTAGTCTTTAAAAATAGCAACAGAAGGTAGATTGACATGGTCACACTTTTGTTCACATATTAATACTGTATCCTTTGATAGGGTTCTAAAAAACACTATCAGATCTGTCTAGTTTGATGAGCCAGAAGTGAGAAATCATTCCTACATAGTTAATGTAGATTTGAAACTTTCTGTAGCACCAGATGATTTATTCAGGAATATATATAAAGCAATTTTTAAAATAAGTTCATTTAAAAATTATAGATATTAAATTCTTTCATAGTAATATGTGGTTATAATTTGAGAAGGAATTGTATACTTGGACTTAAAGTATAATGAAGGCACAGAATTAAAATGTTTTATGTAATTTTTTTTTTCGAGACAAGAGTCTCACTCTGTCGCTAGGCTGGAAATGGCTTAGTCTTGGCTCACTGCAACCTCTGCCTCCCGGGTTCAAGTGATTCTCCTGCCTCAGCCTCCCAGGTAGCTGGGATTACAGCTAATTTTTGTATTTTTTTGTATTTTTAGTAAAGATGGGGCTTCACTGTGTTGGCCAGGCTGGTCTCTATCTTCTGACGTTGTGATCTACTCACCTCGGCTTCCCAAAGTGCTGGGATTACAGGTGTGAGCTACCATGCCCAGCCTTTTATATAATTCTTGCTGGTAAAGTTTAAAATTACTTTTCATTCATTTTTATCTCATTTCCTTTATCTTCAGACATATTTGTTTATTTGCTTTTTGAGATGGAGTTTCACTCTGTCACCCAGACTAGAGTGCAATGGTGTGCTCAGCTCACTGCAACCTCTGCTTCCTGGGTTCAAGTGATTCTTCTGCCTCAGCCACCTGAGTAGCTGGGATTACAGGCGCCCCATCACCACACCCAGCTAATTTTTGTATTTTTTGCATTTTTAGTAGAGACAGGGTTTCACCATGTTGGTCAGACTGGTCTTGAACTCCTGACCCTGTGATCTGCCCACCTTGGCCTCCCAAAGTGCTGAGATTACAGGCATGAGCCACTGTACCTAGCCCAGAAATAATTTTTTAATTCATATTTCTTGTTTACTTGATTGTGACATTAATAGTAATCATGAAATAGTTCCCAATCTCCACATATACAAATTATTTAAATTAATTCATGTTCTCCTTTCCTTATAGGACCAGTACCTCAGACTTATACATATAATTTCAGGGCACTCCTAAACAGATTAAAAATGTTTATTTCACCTTTGAAATTTTGTTTTATTTCAGATTTGGTGTGAAGAAGAAACCAATTTACATTAATGTCATAAGAGATCCTATTGAGAGGCTAGTGTCTTATTATTACTTTCTGAGATTTGGAGATGATTATAGACCAGGCTTACGGAGACGAAAACAAGGAGACAAAAAGGTAATTTTTTAGTTTTAAGATTTTATAAAGATAATTGTTTATGAAATGCAGTGAGCAATGTGCTTTTAAAATTTGTGTTAATTATAAATTTATTACTCGCTTATTGTGGAAATTTTGAAAACAACCCAAAATATAAAGAAGCAAAATGAATACTAGTTATATAGTTGATATATTGTAATATACATATTTTTTGTGATTTTTAAAAATGTTTCTTTTCCAGGGCAGAATCTTGTTTTATTATGGTTCTGTTAACAATTTTCTGTGCAGTTATTGTAATTATTCACTAATATGATATATTTTTGTATTTTTTTGGTTCTCTTAGTCTTGGTGATGGCAATTTATATTTGTGATCATCAGTTTAAGGACACTGTTTTGCTGAAGCAGCTATTTTCTTTTTTTTCTGGCAAGAAAAGAATAACGACTCAACACAGTTCTTAACCAGTTCACATGCAGGTTGTCTTTCATTTCATTGCATTCTCTAGAGTATCACCAGAATTATTTTTCTAATAAGTCAAACTGATTTGTCACTTTTCTGGTGGAAGACCTTTACTGGGACCTCATTGCTTACAGATTATCTAACACGTAGGAGACACAACTGGACATGATCTCAGACCTAGCTCTCCTGTCTGATTTTCCTTTAGGTGCCCAGTGCTTTAGCCACTTGAAATGTCACCATCCTCTAAACTTACTAAGTTACTAATGCTTCATACTTTTTACACATGTATTATTCCCTATATTGAGAATGCCTTTTCCTTTACTCTGGAAAACTCTTTATCCATCTTTAAGATCTAGTTCAAACATGACCTCTTCCATAAAGTCTTTTTGATGCCTCCAGGCAGTTAGTCATATCTCTTTCAGAGCACCCAGGGCACTTCATTCAAATCTCTTTCTTTTAAGCATTTATTTGGTGGTTATTTAGATTATCAGTTTACATATTGTCTTCTTCAAAATTCGGTGAATTTCCTGAAGCATATATTTAATTCATCTTTGTTTCCTCAGTATTTAGCAAAATACCTAGGTTACCTGTAAGTGATTAACAAATGGTTGAATTTGTGAATTCTGTACATTTTAAACCTAAAGTATCACACAGTAGTGATGCCAGATACTTGGTATGTTATGATAATTAACATCCAACAATATTTTTTTCTACGTTAGATATACTCTCTGTGTCACATGATGGGGCAGTGGTTTTTTTGTTTTGTTTTCCTTTTTAATGATTTCTAGAAATTGCTGTTTCTTCAGTCTCAACGCAATAGGCAGAAGGTACTGATCCAAACACAGATAACTAACCAAATATGTTTTCTTCTAGAAATATTTATTATGGAGATTCTGTAAAATTTTATAAAATCTATTAATGTAACTCTTATGACTTACTACTTTAGAATTTATCAGTATTTATTTCTAAATTCACTTGTGCACTTTCTTTTTTAAAAAATTTTAGCCCTATTTATACTAACTATTGACTCAGTAAATATTATCTATCTCCCTCCTTTGACTAAAGTACTATTGGTGTTGGAAAGGAAAAGATTGCAGTCATGTAGGTCCCTATTTCCATCATTTATTATTATCAGTCCTGGACAGCATGCTTTGTGGTTTCTATCCTGTGTAGTTGGGGGATTGGGTAATAATTAATAATAATTAACAGTCATAATGGCTCACATTTACTGTTTATCATGTACGAAGCAGTGTTTTAAGTTATTTTATATGTATTTTTTTAGGTAGTTTGCACAACAATTCTATGGGGTGGTTGCTGTTACTGTCCTCATTTTACAGAAAAGGCAACAACTGTAAGGCACAGAAAGGGCTATTTTGCACGATGTCATTCAGCTTGTAAATGGTAGAGCTGTCATTTAAAACCAAGTACTCTACTTCCAGAGCCTATAGCCTTAACTACTCTTACATCCTTTGAAAAGGAGAGAAGAGGCCGGGTGTGGTGGCTCATGGCTGTAATTCCACCACTTTGGGAGACTGAGGCGTGTGGATCACAAGGTCAGGAGTTCAAGACAAGCCTGGCCAAAAATACAAAAATTAGTCGGGCACAGTGGCAGGTGCCTGTAATCCCAGCTACTCTGGAGGCTGAGGGAGGAGAATCGCTTGAACCCAGAACCCAGGGGGCAGAGGTTGCGGTGAGCTGAGATCCACCATGGCACTCCAGCTTAGGCAATGGAGTGAGACTCTGTCCCAAAAAAAATGGAGAGGAGAAATGCAACATGTCACTTGACATTTTTCTGTGAAATGTGTTCCACAGTTGCATATTCAATATTCAAAAAAAAAAATCCAGGCAGACATTTTAACACCATCTCCTTGAAAGTTTTAGGTAGATAGGCCATCCTGGAGCTTTAACTATTCTTCATCCTGACTATAATAAAGCCTGGGTTTTTGTTGTTGTTGTCGTTTAATGTCATTATAAAATACACATTAATATGCCTGTTTATTTAGATGTAGTATTGGTAACATCAGCAAAAATACTATTGCATTGTCTTACCTCTTATGAGGACAGGGCTATCTGTAAATAATTGTTTTATAAAAATAAGAGATTACTTTGTTTTATGATAGAATGTACCTTTTCAGTCTGAAACATATTGGTAATTTGACATTTCTAGTAATTTGGCTTGTTTCTTCTGACATACATGTTGGTAAACCTAATGAGTAAAGTGTTTATTGCCAATAACTCCTTCACATCTTTAACTGGCAAGAATTTTCATTAAACTCATATCTGTAAAGTTGATAAGACTGCATGCATATAACATTTCTAAAGCTGGAAGGGTTTTAGAAAGATAATGGGGATTTGCTGGGTCCAGTGGCCCAGGCCTGTAATCCCAGCACTTTAGGCCAAGGTGGGCAGATCACGAGGTCAAGAGATCGAGACGATTCTGGCCAACATAGTGAAACCCCGTCTCTACTAAAAATACAAAAATCAGCCGGGTGTGGTGGCACACACGTGTGGTCCCAGCTACTCGGGAGGCTGAGGCGGAAGAATCGCTTGAACCCAGGAGGTCGAGGTTGCAGTGAGCTGAGATTGGGCCACTGCACTCCAGCCTGGCAACAGGGCAAGACTCCGTCTCCAGAAAAAAAAAAAAAAAAAAGAAAAGAAACACAATGAGGATTAAAGGGTGGCCATGATTATGTTGGAAATACTTTGCAATGGCATTTATTCTCAAAAAAAGTTTAGATAGCTTCCTTTCTATAAAATTGAAGATTATTTGCACCTCAAGTGATACTCTGAGATATATTAAACAGTATTCAATTCAGCATTTATGGCAACTATTGTGTTTTAAACTGAAATATTCCAGTAATCTGAACTGCTTTGTGGTTACACTTCAAACACAGTTTAAATATATGTGCACCTAGAATAGCTTTCACTTGATTTGTAAAGAATCAAGTGAAAAACTTTTTAGTTGGAAGATTACAAATGTGCACATTTTAGAACTAGAGTTTTACTTAATTTAATCTCTGCCCAACACCTGAAAAATAAGGATATTAAGTAATCCAAAGATGAGCATTCAATATCAGTTAAATCAGTAGTTCTCAAACTTTTTGATCTAAGAACTGCTTTTATACTCTGAAAAATTAAGGATTCCCTAAAGAGCTTTCGTTTATAGCTTTTGCTTTGTTTTAGATTATATCTATTGATATTTACCAATATCAGTAAATTTACTGAAAAATTTTTTTCTTCCATTTACTGAAAATAATTTTAAAGTATTATGTTTTAACAATAGTAAAGCCATCTTATGTTAACATAATTTATATTTTAGTGAAAGTATTTCTTTCTCGACAAAAACAATGAAAAGGGTGGCATCAGTTTACATTTCTGCAAATCGTTTTGGCATCTGGCCTACTGTAGACAACCAATTTTTTCTTTTTCTGTTTTATTTCATTTTGCTTTGAACCTTGAGAAGCTAGACAGCTGATTTTCATATCTGCTCCTGAATTCAGTTTGTTCAAAATGTTCTTTTGGTTGAATTGTATAGAGGAAATACAGCTTTACCCAGATAGGTAATTGAAAAAGGGAGGATTTTAATAGACTTCTAAAAAAAGTGTGGCTATTCTTTAATATTACATTAAAACCTGGGCGCGGTGGCTCAAGCCTGTAATCCCAGCACTTTGGGAGGCCGAGGTGGGTGGATCACGAGGTCAAGATATCAAGACCATCCTGGTCAAAATGGTGAAACCCCGTCTCTACTAAAGATACAAAAAATTAGCTGGGCATGGTGGCGCATGCCTGTAATCCCAGCTACTCAGGAGGCTGAGGCAGGAGAATTGCCTGAACCCGGGAGGCGGAGGTTGCGGTGAGCCGAGATCACACCATTGCACTCCAGCCTGGGTAAGAGCGAAACTCCGTCTCAAAAAAAAAAAACTTGACAAGTGGTAGTTTCAAAAGTTAGTTACAATGTAGAATCTGAAACCCTAGTAGTGAACTTTTTATACTTTGCTACTTTAAAATCTGTTAATATGTTTTACACTTTGAATGAGTCTTTTAACCAAGCATAATTTTGAAACATCATACATTGGTCATTTGGAACATACTGGTTCACTGAGTTATACAGACCTTTCAAATGTAACATATTTTGTTATACAGTGTTAAAAACTCTCATTCATTTATTCATTCATTCATTCATTTATTTATTTGAGACGGAGTTTCGCTCTTGTTACCCAGGCTGGAGTGCAATGGCGCGATCTCGGCTCACTGCAACCTCCACCTCCTGGATTCAGGCAATTCTCCTGCCTCAGCCTCCTGAGTAGCTGGGATTACAGGCACGCACCACCATGCCCAGCTAATTTTTTGTATCTTTAGTAGAGACGGGGGTTTCACCATTTTGACCAGGATGGTCTCGATCTCTTGACCTCGCGTCCAGCAAAAACTCTCATTTATTAATATCACCACTGATTTCATCAGAAAAGTCTTTAAGTATTGGGAGACTGTCAGACTTCCGGTGGCAGATAAAAGTTTTCTAACAAAAATTTTTTTTTTGCTTGAAAGCTTAATTTTTATCATTGGCCTATTACAGGATTTCTCAACCTCGACACTGTTGTTTTCAGCCCGATTATTCTTTGTTGTGGGGGTCTTCCTATACATTGTAGGGTGTTTACCAGCATCTCTTACTTCTGCCTGGTTGCATTCCCCACACCTCAGCTGTGAGAACCAAAATTGTCTTCAAACATTGCCAAATATCACCTGAGAGTCAGAATAGCGCCCATCTGAGAACCCCTGCGGTATCAACACTGTCAGATATTCTTTCAAGTGACAGGCACAATTTATTCTTTTTGAGAAAGTATCACCAAATACTCAAATTTGAATAGCTATAGTTTGGCATATGGTAGATATATAAAGTTTTTTTCTTATTTCTTTTTATGAGCTACAAAATTTGGCACAAATAATAAAACTACTTTTTAGAAAATGGCCTAGGCTAGCAAATCTAAGACCATCTAAAAAATTTCAGAAATAATGTCAAATGCCTCATGAAAATATTTTATTTCCTCTGTCTTTATCTCCATTACAGCTATGCCTTTAATACCCCTGTAAATCCCCAAAGTGCAGTCTTTTCAGCAGTAATTTACAAGTCCAAGTGGTTTATATAGCACTATTCTATATGCTCATTAGGACACAAATGCTACTGCATGATCCCTTCAGGAAGTTTTCACTGTAGTTGGAAAGACAGAACATAATACATAACACATTTTATGTAGGTAAAGGTATAGACAGACAGACAGATGAACCTACCCTAAGATTCTAAACCATATCCTCAGAGCTGCCATTACAAGGCAGTACGTGATTAATTTATATGACTCCAAAGAAAATAAGAGTGTCTCATCCCACCTACTCTCTATTTAATAATTTACCACATCAGATATTTGATAGGTGAGACTTGGATTTATGGCTTATGTGTGCTGCTTTGTCTTTGTTCTAGACCTTTGATGAATGTGTAGCAGAGGGTGGCTCAGACTGTGCTCCAGAGAAGCTCTGGCTTCAAATCCCATTCTTCTGTGGCCATAGCTCCGAATGCTGGTAGGGAGATAAAGTTGGCTCAAATTCATTATCATCCTTATTATTTCTATAATCTGTGTTTCATTTCACAAGGGCTAGATTTAGGGAAATCGGTCAAAGACTAGACTCAATATAACATGTAATTGAGTAATATCTAGTTTTGCAGTTACTTTTAAATGCATTTAAAAGATTCCTCATGTAGAGTAATACCCTGATATCCTTGCATTGTTTTCTCAGATGCTGGTTTTTAATATTTCTTGTTTTTGGTGTTATGTTTTGCTGTATTCCAGTGAAGCTCTTAATTAGAGACCAGAGGCATCATAAATCTAATTTTGTCCCAAGCTTACTGTTTTAGCAGAGGCTTAGTGGGTTAAAATTCACCTGGTTTTCCTGTTAAACTGATTTTGACTTTAAGAGAAGCCAAAGTTTTGGTTCTGGTTTAGTTTGCTAGTAAATACCAAGTGGAAAATAATGATAATTTAATAAAAAAATTTATTTCCTCAGAATGTGTTGTTTTAGTTTTTAAAAATATTTTTACGTATTTATTTGTTCCATTCAATCATTTTAATAGGAAAAATAGGAGAAAAAAGGAACATAGTCAAAATTTCTTCCTTAAACCATAATGAGAAATACAAGGAATTTCTTCATTATTTGAGATATATCATCAAATTGCTGTGGAGTTTAAGGTCCCACTCAATAGATTACATCAAAGCCTCATAATAGTATAAGAATCGGAAGCCTATAAAGAATGCCTTCTCAATTTTTAATCATTTCTTTAGAACAGGGATTGGCAAACTACAGGTTGTAACCTGCAGACCAAATTTGACCCGTCACCTGTTTTATTTTGTATTTTTTGAGACAGAGTCTTGATCTATCGGCTAGGCTGGAGTGCAGGGGCAGGCATATCACATGGTGGGAGCAAGAGAGTGGGCAGTAGGGGCAGATTGGGGATGTGGTTCCCAGACTTTCAAACAACCAGATCTTGTGTGAACTGAGCAAGAACTTAGTTATCACCAAGGAATTGACACTAAACCATTCATGACAGATCTGCTCCCATGATCCAATCAGGGATCCAATCCTACCAGGCTCTACCTCCAGCACTGGGAATCATGTTTCAGCATGAGATTTAGAGGGAACAAACATTCAAACCATATTATTCTGCCTCTAGCTCACCAAATCTTATGTCGTTCTCATATTTCAAAATACATTCATCCCTTCACAGTAGTCCCAAAATCTTATTCCAGCATTAACTCAAAAGTCCCAAGTCCAAAATGTCATCTGGAGATGAGTTGCTTCAACCCTATAAGCCTGTGAGTTAAAAAAAAAAATTATTCTGAAGATACAATGGTGGTATAGGCATTGGATAAATATTCCCATCTCAAAAGGGAGAGACTGGCCAAAAGAAAGGTGCAGTAGGCCCCACACAAGCCTGAAATCAGCAGGGCAGTCATTAAATCTTAAAGCTCTAACATAATCCTGGACTTCATCTCCTGCATCCTGGTGCAAGGGGTGGGCTCCCAAGGCCTTGAGCAGCCCTGCCCCATGGTTTTGTAGGAAACAGCCCACTTGGCTGCTCTCATGGGTTGGAATTCAGCCAAGTTCTTTGCTAAGGCATAACAGGAGCAACCTTTACTCCAGTTCCCAATAACTTCATTTCACTCTGAGACCTCGTCAGCCTGAACTTTACTGCCCATATTTCTGTCAGCATTTTTGTCACAATCCTTAAACATGTCTCTAAGAAATTTCAAAGTGTCCCTCTTCTGATTCCTCCAACTCTTCCAACCTCTATCCATTAACCAGTTCCAAAGCCACTTTTCCATTTTCAGCTATCCTTATAGCAACACCCCACTCCTTAATAACAATTTTCTGAGCCCTCCAACTCTTCCAACCTCTGCCCATTACCCAGTTCCAAAGCCACTTTTCCATTTTCAGCTATCTTTATAGCAATATCCCACTCCTTAGTAACAATTTTCTTTATTAGGCCATTTTCACATTACTATGAAGGTACACCTTGGCTGATGGCTCTGAGGCTGTATAAGCATGGCATCAACATCCATTTGGCTTCTGATGTAGGCCTCAGGAAACTTACAGTCATGGCAGAAGGTGAAATGGGAGCAGGCATATCACATGGCAGGAATGGGAGCAAGAGAATGAAGGGAGAGGTCTCAGTCTTTTAAATAAATAGAGATCTCATGAACTAACCAACTGAGTCAAGAACTCAGTTATCTCCAAGGAAGTGGTGCTAAACCATTTACAAGGGACCTGCTCCCATGATCCACTTACCTCTCACCAGGCCCAACCTCCCACACTGAGAATCACATTTCAGAATGAGAGTTAGAGGGAACAAATATCCAAACCATATCACTATGTAGTTTGCAAAACCTAAAATATTTATCCTCTGGCTTTTTATAGAAAGTTTGCCAATTCCTGTCTTAGAACAATAAAAACTATTGCTCTATTGGGCATTTTTTGAGGAGATGTTAATTGAATTTCTTTAGTATGTTTCATAGACTTAACAGAACTGGGAGGGTCCTTAGAAACCAATTAATCACTGCTTCCCTTTCCCATTTTTTAAAATAGTTTTCGAAAACAAAATTGAGAAAGGTGAAGCCACCATCTCAAGATCATGCTACCACTTAAAGGCAGAACTAGAATTTGGATTAAGGAATATTCATGCTAAAAAGAACCCAAAAGTATAGTTTATTTTGGGCCAAATTTGTGTTAATTGCATTAGCTAACAATGTAAATGAAAATAAAAATAAAAGATTTTAGCAGAGTGATTTCTTAGCAATTTTCTTTTCCTGAGAAATTTCAGAAAACATACAGCTCACAAAAACTCACAAAATAAGCAGTAAACACAAATTGTTTACACCTTAATAGAGAGCTCTTAACTGAACAGAATTTAGAGTAGTTTAAAAAAGTTAAATACACACTAAATCATATGGTAGGGATAGATGTTTTATATCTATATACATTTTTAAAGTGCCCTCAAACTAAATTGTTCAGGTTAAGAGTCCTCCAGTAAACTCTGAATTAGCACTGCATAGTTGAGCAGAAACTGGAGATGGAAGCAAAGGAAATTAGAAACAGGTGTGCCTCCCACAGGATGTAATAAAAGGGCATTGAGGCTTTGGATATACATGTGTTTATTTTTCTCTGTAATATATGGTGTCAAAGGCACCAAAAATACTCAGCAGATTTCACAACCAGGCTTTTAATTCCTTTTCTTTGGTTTCAGGAATGTGGGAAGCAGGTGGGCTATGGATCAAGCCAAGTATAACCTAATTAATGAATATTTTCTGGTGGGAGTTACTGAAGAGCTTGAAGATTTTATCATGTTATTGGAGGCAGCATTGCCCCGGTTTTTCAGGGGTGCTACAGAACTCTATCGCACAGGTATATAAAGGAAGGGTTTCCTTTTAAAGCTTTTTTTGGTTTCTTTTTTTATTTGCAACTTGTAAAATATACATGACTTGAAGTTTCTTCAGTGAAACACAACAGATAGTTCCAGAAAGGCAGGTATCTTGTCTGTTTCTGCTCAATATTTTCAATTGAATAACTGTGAATTAGGTGAAAATTAGAAGGCACTGTTGAAATAGTGGAATGATACAAACTACAGAACCAGCCTTAGAAATGTATAGTATTCAGTAATGCCAGATGTCAAACATTAGGCCTGTGAATTGGTCCTGCCTACCACCAGTTTGAAGTAGAGGTGGAATAGTGCAACTGAATCACACTGATAGAGTCATCATGTGCTACATCTATTATAGTATGCCTAAGCCACGCTTTAGCAGCCTGAGCTGTATTACATATCTGAAAGTAATAAGCTAATTGTGTTTTTTTGTTGTTACTGTTTTTCTTTTTTTTGCTGTTTGATAAGATGCAGTCATAGGAACTCTTTTCCTTGAGTATGCATATGCCTAAGCTTCTAACACATAATTTTAGAGAATACAGGTTATGAGAAAGTGGAAGTCAGTTTGGCAATAGATATTTTGTCAAAAATCAACTAGTCTCAGAGCAACAAGCACTTGAGAATATAGTGTGCAAGGTGACAGCCTACACTTTACTGTGTGCCAGTCCTTACATTTGCTATTTGACGTTTCATTAAGTCTTTTAATAGGTTGACGATTTACATTCTAAAGGACTAAATCATGGCTCTAGTGTGATCAAGGCTCCATTTTTACCTTAATTATACAAGACAGTTATGTTACCTATTTTCAGCGTGTCATATTAACTTAAGCACCTCTGCAAATAAGGAGGAATTGATCTTCTGTGTGTTCTTCAAGAATTATTTACCTTTCCTTTTTTTGTTTTCCCCTTTGTAAGTAGGAAAGAAATCTCATCTTAGGAAAACCACAGAGAAGAAACTCCCCACTAAACAAACCATTGCAAAACTACAGCAATCCGATATTTGGAAAATGGAGAATGAGTTCTATGAATTTGCACTAGAGCAGTTCCAGTTCATCAGAGCCCATGCTGTTCGAGAAAAAGATGGAGACCTCTACATCCTCGCACAAAACTTTTTCTATGAAAAGATTTACCCGAAGTCGAACTGAGTATAAGGTGTGACTATTGGATTCTTGAACTAAAATTTGACCCTGTCTTCACCTTTCTTCTCAGCTCCACAGTCTGGATTGCTGACAGTAGGTGTATGTGACAATTTGTATCGATCCAAATTAGGAAACAGACAGTAACGTCAAGGAAGTAGATACTGGCTGGTATGTCAGTGTTCTAAGTTTAAGTTTCAGGCATTTTAATTTTTCCTGGCTAAACTTCGGTGAAAGTTATAACCTCCTGCCTGAGGGAAAATATACATCACCTAAAATGAACTCATGGCAGGTCTAATCAAAAGGCTAAATACAATTTCAGAAAAGGTTCTGATACTCTTGTTTTTGATAAACCATTTTTTCAACTAACCATGAATGAAGATGAGTCCATTTGCCTCTTCTGCCTTCAATGAGGGTTTGGGTTATACACCTCTACTGAATAGTGTTAACTGCTTGGCAGTATGTACTTTGTTTTTGTGAGTCATGTCTCATGAAATTTATTGGAATGTTTAATCATATTTGCTAAGAAATGTTTCTGCTGTAGTTGAATTTGGCCATATTTATGTAGGTGGTTTTAATTTTTTAAATAATGATTAGTGTTAAAAATCAATTTAAATCATGACTAATATGGTAAAAAGATAAAGGATCAAAGCAGTATTTCTCATTCCTGTCTCCTCAATAGCTAATATTGAGAAGATACTTCAGAGAATACTAAGATTGTCTGAAGTTTTAGTTAAGATTTCCACACATTAATATCAAAAAAGTAAGTTTAGTATTTGTTTCTCCATGGGTTATTTGTAAAGCTGTAAACTGAGATATTGGTGACTCCGTATTATGACTCCATTAGTGAGCTGTGGTATGGGTAGGATTTTCCTACTTCTTCTGTACTTTTACCTGTAGACTATTTTTACTAAGGTGCTTTATAATGTGTTTTAAAGCATTGCATTTACAAAAAGGAAAATGCTGTAAATATTGCATATTTTATGTATTTGGACCAAAAGATTACAAGTAATTAGACAAAAGTGGTTTTGCACCAATTTTATGTCAAGTAAAACCATCAGACCTACTGTTCTTATATTTCTCATTTAACTCTACTGTTAAGACATCACTGAAATGAGCTTCAGTAAGCTTTCAGTTTTGATACACAGTTCATTATTCGTAACTTGAGGCAGTAATTACCGTGGAAAGAGTACTGGACAAGAAGTCAAAAAACTTGATTTCAGGTTCTAGCTCTACCACTTACCAGCTGTGTGATCTTGGGCAAGTCACTTAACCTCTCTTTGCCTCAATTTCCTCATCTTGAAATGAGGATAATAATACCTGCTGTACCTACCTCACAGGGCTGTTGTGAGGATTAAATGAGATGGCATGTGAAAGCACTTTGAAAATTGTAAAGCGCTATATAAATGTAAGGTGTTATTATAGAAACATCTTTAACATATAGTTTCATACCATTCATTTTTTAACAAAGAAAGGGAAAAGTCTGCTTGTAAGCTGGTTGAAAAAGTTAATCTTGATATAAATTTGTGTTTGATAAATATCTTCTCAGTGTTTTATCTTCCATGTTTCAACAACTCTTGAAATATGAAACACCTGTGAACTCTTAAAGCTTCATGAACAGCTGCTTAAGTTCAGAAAGTTCCCTGTTAGAAATAGGCTTTGTTAGCTGACTAGGGTCTGGGAAACTTTGCTCTTCAAATTTGAGAGATGTTTCTATTTTTATTTAACATTACTATTCAGAAATGGTAGCTGTTTTATACTTACAGTTTAAGTAAATATTTCTGAACAAGGCTTCACCAGACTGTAAGCATTTTAGGTAGATTGCCTTAAAGGTTATTAATTGTGTGGGAGGGCATGAGGGAACACTTCTTATGAGAAAACATTTATTAAAAAAACTAAAGAAAAACTAAAAGAATGACAGAATCATCTTAGCATCCTTTCCTCACAATAATATAAAAATATTAAGAGCATAGCTGGGCTTTTAAAATTTGGCTTTTTTCTTTCTTTTTTCAAATTGACTTTTATAGGTATTTCCTGAAAATGTATATACATTATTTCCTTGCCCAAAAGTAAAGCACCACTTCAAGGTGGGATTTGACATTACCTGCTAATGAACAAACCCCAGTGTGCAAGTTATTCTTGCATCACATGCTCAAATCTTCTTGAGGTGCATTAACTCTCTTAGGTAACTAGAGCAGTACTTGATGAACTAGATCAGGATGTCAGTAAACTTCTTCTGTGGAAGAGCCAGAGAGTAAATACTTTAGGCTTTGCAGGCCATAGGGTCTCTGTCACAGGTAGTCAACCCTGCCCGTGTACTGCAACAGCAGCCGTAGACAGTATGTAAACAAATGAGCACAGTTATGTTCCAATAAAACTTTATTTACAAAAAGAGATGACATGCCAGTTACAGACCATGGGCTACCAACCATTGCACTGGCTAAATCATTACTTACGGAGAAATCATCTTTGTATCTGTACTCTACAGGCCTAAAAGAGTTTATATACTTCTAAAAGCTCCTAACTTATATCCAAAGAATTGCTTTCTGATTCACATAGTCTCTCCCACAGATTCATAAACTTTTATGACTTATATTGTTTCCAGGTGGGCATGTTTTCTTTCCCAGTTTAAACAGTTCAGAATAGGGGCATTTATTTTATCATATTTTTTAGGGTGGGTTAGGAGTATCCTTTCTGGAGACTGAGAAAGGGGTGAATTTAATTCCATCAGGTCCAGCACAGTACTAGGAGTCATAATACTTTATAATCAATTAAATAATAGAACCACTGAGATAATAATGTATTTTTTTAACGTGGCAAATGTGGTTTTCTTTTTTCAGCCTTTGCGCTTTTTCAGTATTTTGACCATAGGGAGATAATTTTTTTATAATACAAAAGTAAATTAACCTCTTGGAATTTTAAAGATAATGTTATGTGTGTATGTGAAAAATATATATATATGTTTATTTCCTAAAAGAGGAAAAGATACCTTTCTGTTCAACTTGTATCAACTCCTGTTTTCTAATTGCTGTGAAATGGCAACTGTTGATAAATTATTGTGATTGTTTTAAAATACAATGGGAAGTAAAATATATTTTGATTTTACCCAGCTTTAATCTGTAAAGTAGCACTTAAATATATCTGATAGCAACACTTAAGATATTGCATGAGGATTACTTTTCTATCATCCATACACATTTGTGCAACTTCAAACATATTGGGTGCTTCTGAATTCCTGATGATTGGATTTAAACTATTGAAAATTAGACAATTTAAACTTACTGATTTTTATAATTTTATTTTCTAATCTTAAAATTTGGTTAATGCCTATAATTTGAAGTCTGTTCCTTTTTCTCAATATATGTCCTATTGGAAATTCCTAAAATTGTTGGTGCGATCAGTGATTTACAAACAGTATTTTGATATTGCAGATGATTTGCTTACTGTATTTGCATAGTTAGAAAGAAAATAGTTTGTGGACAATGATTCTCTCTTTTTTAATAAAATCAGATAATTCTAAAAACACTGGAGAATTCAACTAAAGGCTGGTTCCCAAATGCATAGCTGGCATTTTAATTTAAATTCAAATCTACATAGAGAACATCTGTGTAAATCATCTAACTGGATTTTCCCATTGGTCATTCCCAAACACACCTATGGTCCTAGAGTCATTATGAGAAGCACCCTGTAACCTTTTATGAAGTTCACCTTGAAGAGGCCCGGGTGCGTCCACTTTATGATTTGAGTTGGACTCTTCATAAATTAACATTGTTTACTTTCAGAGAAAGCAGGGTAGTGGCTGTTAGGTTTTCGCATTTGTTTATCCTATGCAAAGTTGCTGTATGATGCCAGCTAAACTGCTCTTTTGGCAGCCTTCTGAGGAGCAAAGCAACCCTGTTTCAAATCCACTGCCAACTCAGCTCCTGTCAAGTGGAGCTTACTTTCTGATTTCTTGGAGCAGGAATTTTAGAGATCAAAATGAGTGATCATTTAGTCAGATTTATCCTATAATTTCATGCAGCTTTGTGGCCTTTGCAGTACTGTTTATAAGATGGACCCTGATGGTGATGAACTCTTTGAAATGCATTACTGGTAAGCCTGTGTTGAGACATATTGATGCTGTCTGTATCATTTTTTTAGACAGTTTTTGTAGCTTTCTATTCAGAGTCAGGTATGTGAGCACCTCTGAAGCAGTGTTCAGTGTAATTTTGGGAAACATGGATTGTGTATTTTAACTTTTATTTTATAAATACACAGATAGCTCAACAGTGCCTTTTTTTTTCCTCATATTCCTGTTGGAAGATGCTCACTACTCTCTCTTCTCTTTTCCTGCCCTCCCCAACCCCATTCAGTTGATTCATTTATGCAGTACTGTTTCCAACTTGAAACCATTTTGTCACATCTGTTGGAGAGATAATCACTCCTTTTCCTTAACATTCTGCCAGCTTTCTGTTGTTGAAGTGTTTCAGTTGACTACCTGATGCAAAAGCTATAAAATAAACACAGTGGGAAGGGGAAAAATGGTTTGGTGTCCTGTTTTAATATTTTCTTTTGTAGCCTTGACACTGATGGACATTTTCCGAGCTGACTCAGTATTCAGTGTCAATTCTCAGTGTTGCCATCAGAAAAGCATGCATCATCATTGGTTTCTAATGATTTTATGGCTTATTTGTGACAATATTTTATATGAACTGATGTGCTTCTGCTGCTTTTGCTTTGTACTTCATTACTGGCAATAAAATTTCAGATAGAAAACTTAAAGTATATACTTAATTAGAAGAAAAAAGAAAAATGAATGGCTATTAGAATAAAAAATATTTGCAAGTAACTTAATCTGATATTTATGGCACAGTTTGGACATGTCCATAATGTTTCTTTAAGAACACACATTTCTAAATTTTTTTTTCCCTTAAAGAAGAAAGTCTCAATTTCATTGTTTCTCAATTTCTAGCCACTGGCTCATTGTTTTGAGCAATGCTTGATTGATTCTATTTATATGATATGATACTGGGTTGATAAAATGCCAGTTCAATGATGAATTTTCTTAACAGTATTTGGTTTGCACTTGGAGTGGCGGAACAATGAGCATGGGTTTGAGAGATGTGCATTTAGCACTGTGATGTCAGTAAATGGAGATAACAGGATTGTTGTCAAGGTTGGGCATGGTGTATGTAAAGTACTGGCCAGGGTAGACTAATAACTGAAGGCATTTATATGCTATGCTGGAATATTGTTACCAAGCTGATGTGCCCTTCTCACCCTCCAAAATACTAGTTTTGTTATTTCATAAACGATATTTTTATAAATATTTTTAAATGACTGTACTTTTTACTGATTATCTTAATACCGCCTCATTTATGTACCTGTAGCATAGATATTCTTGGTTCTGATTCTTGCTGTTCTTTCCACATACAGTCACTAATTTGTACAGATTAAAGGGGGGAAATGCTGACTGTTCTAAAGAAGATAGGACTTGCTTATTCCAGAAGTGACTTGAGTTTATATCTTAGTATATTTGAACAGTAAAGACTGCTCTAGTACACATACAAAACTCAGGATCCCGGGAGTGAAATGATTTGCACTCTATGAACAGAAAGGAAACTATCCATACTCTGTGAGCAAAGAGGATACTTGCCTTAGAGATACTAATTAGGTGATCATCTTAGAATTCCAGGCTTTCAGGATATCTGAAAAATGAACTTAGTGTGCAAAGATTGTTGCCTATACCTGCATATACTTTTATGATCAGCTATTTTTAAAGCAGAAGTTGAACTTTCTGAATTTTCTTCCAGTAGTAACAAGTGCAAAAATGCTAGTCCCAAATCTCTGTCCAACTGTTCCCTTTGTCTAAAGGAATGTCCCCAACCCCTTACTTTACCTTGGCTTCCTTACTTTCTCTTTCACCTTTGTTACCACAGAGCATAGATGTGACAACTTGCAACAAAACAAAAAATAACAAACAGCATCATAACAAAGCTGATTCAAAGTGCGAGGTTACCCCTTTCTACTTCAGGAATAACCAGCGGAGCAAACAGGTAGATTTTATATAGTCACTATTCTCTGTGTATTTTGCTCTGTTTATTCTAGTAGCATGGGACTAAACAGATTAGAGTGTTAAGATGTTTCAGGGGCCTCTTTAACCTGTAACGGACTTCTAGATAATATATAGCACTTATGACTTAGGAGGACAAACAACAGGAAAAACGTAAAATGATTTTTCTGTTCGTTTTTGCCTTTTACCTGTTTCATTCTGTAAGAAAGAATAGAGGCCCAAGATTAGAATTTTTTTTGGTTCGAAAACAATGGGAGATTCATGGAAAGATAATTTCTCAAAGTGGTCTAGTTGTTCTTTTCCTCTCATCTTTTGGCCCTGTGTTTATTCAAAACCAGATGACCAAGTTAGTGAGGTCACCATACCCTTTTTTTAAAAACTTTCGATAACCTTACATTTTTACCTTGAAAACTAAGATCTCTGGTTTCATTTGAGCTCTCATATTCCCATAGCATTCTCTCCTAGCTTCCTTTCTTTCCCTACAGCCCTTCACCATATCCATATGATTTCTGGATGTTCTCATAGCTGAGCAACTGAAATTGACTTTTGAAAGGTACAATTAAATGGTGTAAAGAGATCTCTGATTAGCCATGAAAAAGGGGCAGTTTCGTACGGTAGTTAGAACACGGGCTCCAGAGCATCACCACTTGTTACTCTGAACAAATTAACTCCCCTAAGGCTGAGTTTCCTCATCTGTAAAGGAGGAATAACAATAATATCAACAGTTAGTTTGAGAAGTAAATGAAGTAATGGATGTGTAAAACTTAGCATGTTTCTATCACAGTGTTCCTATCACAAAGTAAGTGCTTACTTTATGATAGATATGAACGAAAAAGGGAAATATATACCCACTCATTCATTCATTGACTTGTGCCAGGCATGAGGAATAAGAAAAATGAACAAATAGAGTATGGCCTCTATTTGTTGGGAAGAAATGGCTGAAGAGGAAACACAAAGCAGCATGCAAAAATAGTTCTTACCTTACTGATAAACCACTTCCCTTTTTTGTTGTTGTTAAGGATTCCTGACCCCTCCTGGACCTTATAATGCACTTAACTTCATCTCTTAGTTTTAACCTGGAAATAGCATACACATCAAACTATCCCACGTGATCAAGTAAGTTCTAGACATCGAGTACCAATTTCCTCTAAAATGTGGATTTCCATATTCCTCTATATGATAGTTTCATTTTGTGATAAATCTGTTCTCTCATTTCTCTAGACAGCTAATGGGTTAATAGGCTAAAAGGATAAGGTTTTATCCTGACAGGTATTGTTGCCATTCACCTGCAATTTTCAATTCTATTTCAATTCTAAAGTCATTTAAACAATACATACAAATAAAGCAATATGTTTAGTCTCAATCTCAAAATGGGTTGTGTTCTCAGAATTCATTATAAACTGGTTGTGTGGAGTTCATGTGGAATCAATATTATACATATATGCCAGCCCACAGAAGTCATTTTACATATTTATGGGTTGGCCAGGCAAGGTGGCTCATGCCTATAATCCCAGCCCTTTGGGAGGCTGAGGCAGGAGGATCACTTGAGGCCAGGAGTTTGAAACCAACCTGGGCAACAGAGCAAGACCCCTGTCTCTAATAATATTGATGGGGTTATCCCTTAACTAGAGCAGAGGAACCTAACTGTGTCCTTCCTGAGGCTTACTTTTGTACTTGTGTTTTTCTTCCTTTTACCAAAGGGGTTTTTTTCAGAGCCTTGAATCCCAAGCTAAGTAGTTTGGGACTTTTTTATGATGGGTGATGGAGGTTTTAAGCAGAGGATGAAGTGGTCATATTTGAGTTTTTGAAAAGTAGCATTAGTGTAAAGAATAGGCTCTCAAGCTAAAAACTGAGAACATGAAACCCTCTGAGAAGACTGCAGTTATCAAGAAAGTAAAGATAAGGTTGGGGAGAGGTAGACAGATCTCAGAGCCAGAAATACCAACATTTAGTCACAGGTGGGATATAATCAATAAATGAGAAATGAAGGCAGTAACTTGAGTTTGTAGCACAATGCATCTGTGCAAATTTTCAGCACCCCTTGTTTTGCCTCAATTAGGCAATGATGATTACTTCCTGTGTCAAAGCTTATAAAACAGACTAGTGTTTTCCCAAAGAACCTAGAATCACAGAGAAGGAATTCACTATCTCCCTATCAGATGTTTGCCTTCCTTGTGTCTTTTGCTCTTCCATATTTTGTGAATTGGGTTATAGTTTAGAAGGAACCTCCTAGAAACTTTTCTACTGTCCTCTGGTTTGATGACAAAGGCTACTAATGAAACACACCAACTCTAAGCTTCTACCTCTACTTCTCTAAACCTGAAGTTTAAAAATGAAAGTCATGCTTGGTAATGTTTCACATCATTAGCACTGAGAGCATTTACAGGGAAACAAAGAAAACGTATTTAGATTAATTTTCTTTTAGGTCAAGGGTGTGGGCAACTAGATTTCTAGAGCCTTCAGCCTGTCTATCAGTGATGCTAGAAAAGGAAGAGGATGAGCTATAAGGGCAGGAACTGACCCCTGTCCAGGTTTTGTTGCTAAATACGCCCTCCATGAAACAGGCAACACAAGCATTTTGAATTGTAAGAATGTTAAGAAATTTCTCTCCCTGAGCAGCAGATCCAAGAGTGATTATTCTGGGATTCTAGAATCAGCTTATTCTTTTCTTTCTCCCTCTCTCTCCATTCTCTTTTCTTTCCAATTTAAAATCACTCAGTCTCTTAGTAGAAACTTAACATAGAAGAACTGTCAGTTAAACTTGCTAATTTGTGATTTTTTAAGCATGTGCCTTCTTAAAGTATCAAAGCTTTAACCTGTATCTAATTAAATATTAAAATCTGGCAAAGAGTAGACCTACAGTCCCCAGGTGATCTGGTTTCCGAACTTTGTTTTGCTTTCACAAATGTGAACCAGTTAGACCTAAATCTGGGTACTTCATCTAGCAGCTTGAGAGGTGTATTTAAACTGCTTGTGGCAATATCATTTCATTTGTATCCATTTTATTGATTCTGGGTGCCCTTTTGATGAGACAGTCAGGTTGTGCTGTTAAACAATGTAGAGGTTTCAGTCTTAGGTGTTGGAAACTGTTGGATGTTCTTAAGCATCTCTCAAAATTGATTAGCTGAAATATACCTTTTCTGGGTAACTGAACTCACCAGTAATTCCATTTGAAGTGGGCAGAGCCTTCCTGAAAATGGCTGACCAGAAATGAGTGACATTTTATTCAATCAAGAGTTACCAGAGACATTTTTTTCCCCTTAAAAGTAATTTAAAATTCGCCAGAGGATTACTAATTAGGTCTCTTGGCATAGCATGGTTATCTGATCAGACTGTCAACGCCCATAAACAGTGAAAGTGCAGCATTCATAAAAACATCCATTCATGTCTGTTTTTAAAGGAGGCTGTGGACTTTAAACTCCCTTCTCTTAAGCAGGCTCACTCTGTTTCTCTGCCTTTGTTTCATGTGGGGGCTCTTTGAATAACACCTTAGATGAGAACAGTGTTTAAGAAGCAGACCGATTATATTTTGCTTTTGTATTTCTCCCATGCTAATGGCTCTCTACTTGATCGTTTAATCACTGATCCAAATCCAGATGGAATTAGATGCCCCTTCCTGCTGTGGTTCTGCAGTCAGACAGTCTGTAATGTTTGATATGGATCTTCTGAGTGGACAAGATGAGATTAGATTAGTCTCTCTGGGAGCCAGCCCTATTCATTTTTCAAGAAAGTTATACTGGAGACCTAAGTACTGCCAAGAGCAAAGTGGAAACAGAGCCCAGCCTTTTCCTCTTATCAAGATGCACAGTAGTTCCACATTAAGTAGTGGAGATTTGAATAATGAATTGGATCAGAAGCCAGGAAGGAGGTCCTTGCCACCCACGATTGGAATACGAACTTCATGTGTTACAACTTTATTACCTTTTCTTATCTTAATATATGACATGACAGAGACTGAAATCTCTGGCATGCAGTCAGTGGCAAATTTTAATTTTACGGGTTTTTTTTTTTTTTTACATTTAATATTTATTGAGCCCCCACTGTTTGCCAGGCACTGCACTACAGGTTCTCTCTGTGCCATGAGCTTTCACCTTTCAATAATCCTCATATTAGGCTTTACAATTGTTGAGAACTTTATACTTTACAAGGCGCTTTCATTTCACATTTATCCTCTCATTAGATTCTCACATGGAAGGGTAGATACTATTATCCTCATTTTACAGTTGAAACTGACAAAGCTAGTAGGTGGAAGATGGGCTCCGCAGGCCTCAA